CACCTGCCAGGGACCTCGCCACTGCTGCGCAGTGTCTCATGGAACAGCAGCTTGTGCAGCAGGAAACACTGCGTGCTGTCCACATGCGCAAAAGGGCTCAGGGTCAGGAAGAGCCTCGTGGCATTGTTTATTTCTTTTTTCTTCTTCTTCTTTCTTCTTCATTGTTTATTTCTTTCTTCTTCTTCTTTTATACAATGCATCTCTACTTCCAAATCAAAGATGGAAATGAAACTGCTGGATATAGCTTGACAATAGGATGCTGGACTGTCCGCCATTATCTGTGTCAGCAATGTCAAGACACACTTAACAGAATGATGGACTTTGTGACTGCTTCTGAAGGACTATGTCATTGTAGTAATATGGGGAAATCAGTTGGGGGATGGGAACCTGGGGGAGGGGGAGGGAAATCCCAAACCCTATGGAATCGTACCATAAAATTCAAAATAAAGAGCCCAGTGCAATAGCCTAGTGGCTAAATCCTCACCTTGCACATGCCGGGATCCCATATGGGTGCTGGTTCATGTTCCAGCTGTTGCATTTCTGATACAACTCTCTGTTTATGGTCTGACAAAGCAGCAAAGGGTGGTTCAAGTCCTTGTTTACCCATGTGGGAGACCCATTAGAAGCTCCTGGTTCCTGGTTTTGGATTGGCTCGATGCTGGCTGTTGACCATTTGGAATGTGAACCAGTGGATAGAAGATTTATCTTTCTCTGTCTCTCCTTTTACCTGTAAATCCACCTTTTAAATAAAAATAAGTAAATTAAAAAAAAAATTTTTTTTTTACTTAGTTTTGGATAACAAGGTCCAGCACAGTAGCCCAGTGGCTGAAGTCCCCATTTTACATGCGCCAGGATCCCAAATGGGTGCCGGTTCGTGTCTCGGCTGCTCCACTTCCCTTCCAGCTCCACTTGCCATCCAGCTCCTTGCTTGTGGCCTGAGAAAGCAGTTGAGAACGGCCCAAAGCCTTGGGACCCTGTGCCTGTGTCACAGACCTGAAAGAAACTCCTGGTTCCTGGCTCCTAGCTTTGGATCAGCTCAGCTCCAGCTGTTGCAGCCACATGGGAAGAGAACCAGCAGGCAGAAGATCTTTCTGTCTCTGTAAATGTGACTTCGCAATAAAAATAGTCTTAAAAAAAAAAAAAAGAATGTCAGAAATTACCGCAGAGAAATCAAATAAAGTTTTTTTTTAAAGTTTGGATAATAGTAAATAATAGCAAAATAATCAGGAAGTAAAAAAGCGAATATTTTTATCTTAGTTTGAAATGGTTAAGTCATAAATCAATATAATTTAATTGGTTTTGAGAGGCTGTATTTTTCCATATATTTAATTTTTACTGAATTTGTCAATGTTACAGAGCTTTTGTGCTGGGAAGCCATGCCTGAGGATCTGAAGAAACTGGACAATGGCCAGCCTCGTCCACCTGCCATCCGGCAATGAGAACTTGATTTGTGAGCCTTTGGATCATGTCACACTCCTTTAAAAATTTATAACAAGAGGTGAAACTTCAATTTGCTGCAAATGTTAGATTCCTGACACAGTAAATAAAACCTCCAGATATACCTCTCAGTCCATTTCTGTCATCGATCCCTCCAACAACATTTTTACAGAAGGGAAAAAAGCATATACGTCTCAGAAAACACATGACGCACGGTCCACCCTCAGCTTTTTGGGTCCCACATGATGTCCTTAGTTTAGCCTTTTGTTTCCTGTTTCCTCATCCAAGCCCATTGTGCTGGCACAGCTACTTACTCACATACACACGGGGAGGCAGGCGGGCGGACCACTACCCAGCAGCAACATGATTGCCCAGAGCAACGAAGCCGCTGTAGCCCTCCTGGGATTCGATGCTTGCACTAATACGTTCATTAAGACTGGACCCTGGTAGGAAAATGCTAGCGCACCAGCACAGCATCATCCGTTCACTGGCTTCATTGTCGTTAGCAGCGAGCCCGCAGTTCCTGCACTAAAGCTAAAAAACGACAGGGAGACTGTGACTCTGCATCAAGTGCTGACATGTCACTGTGCAGTCTATCCACTGAATCCAAGGCACAAAATCAGCAAACTGCCAATGGAAGGAAACTTTCAGTTTTCCTGGATAATTTCTTCAAATCTCAACTCCAACCCCCTCCCCCACCCCTGCTTTTTTTCTAAAGATTTATTTTTATTGGAAAGGCAGAAGGAGAGACGGACAGAAAGATCTTCTGTCCGTTGGTTCACTATTCAAGTGGTCACAATGGCTGGAACTGAGCTAATCCAAAGCCAGGAGCTTCTGGGACTCCTCCGTGGGTACAGGGTCCCAGAGCTTTAGGCCATCCTGGACTGCTTTCCCAGACCGCAAGCAGGGAGCTGGAAGCTAAGTTGAGCAGCCAAGACATGAACTGGCACCCATGTCGGATCCCAGCATGTGCAAAGCGAGTATTTAACCTGTGAGCCATCATGCTGGACCCCCCTCACGTCCCTTTTAAGGACTAAAAAGAACTGGATGTCTTCAGCTGTAATTATGAAAAACAGAAGTGCTACATCACTTGTCTTTTTCCTTGGCTCTCCAGTGAAAACTGCACAGATGCTCCAACAGGTGGGCAATGGAATCCATCGAGAGAATCCCTGCATCCATAGAGTGTCCAATGCCTTAAAAGCTGGACAGGTGTCTGTAGGGATTTCTTACCAGAGGTCATGCAAGAAACTTAAATGGGTGTGAAATGAGATTTTGCTATTGTTGCTCTGAATGTGTAACATCCAATTAGTAACTTCCTTTGCCTGAGCAGAAACCACTCTGCCCAGCCCATTCACACCTCAGTTTAGATCTGATCAGAGGCTGGCTTTTGCAACACCGGAGGGACAGCCTCCAGCACCCAATACTCTCAGCAAAGGCAAGTAGCAAAGTCAGCATACATTTCACAATTGTAATGCATATTTCAGGTTATTTACCGAAACAAGCAATAAGCTCTGTCAAAGAATTTAGTCCAAGTCAAAGTAAAAAAAAGACCTTAATGTGGAACACAAAGAAAATAGTGTGCAAATAAAATTACTTTTAAAAAATAATCCCCAGCTGTAGGCAATGACCTAGGTTGCATTGTGCCTAGGCAAGTGTTACACGGCTGGGAGAGAAGCAGCTGGTGGGCGTGCTGAGTCTCGTTAACCGTCAAATTTGTATTAACTGTAATAGTGTGCCGGCATAGTTGCTTGTTCTATTTCTTTTTTAAAGGTATGCAGGGGCCAGATGCCAGAATGCTAACATACAGGGACTGGGGACCAGCACGCAAGTGTATATGGGCCCTGGGTTGGCAGACAGGGCCCCAGGCATGGGGGACTATGGGTTACTCAGGAAAGCAGTCTGGAGGTATGTGGAAGAGAGGGCTGCTGAGGGAGAATGTGACAGGTAAAGAATGACTTCTTGGGGGGACTTTCACCAACCTTACTTACTGCACTTACAGGTAAATGAGGAGGCTGACACTGGGTGGTTTAGAGAAGGGAAATTGAAGGACCTTTGGGGACTAAATCAATACACCCTCCCTTGTGGGAAACCTGAGCTGAAACTGTTGGTATCAACCACCACCTATCACACAAAAAAAGCCGTGGCTGGAGGGCCTGCCACCAGTACCCACCAGTAAATACTGGGGCAGGGAGTGGACCATGTCTGTCTGGACAATGACACTAACCAGCACACGAAAGAACTGGGTCGGGGAGCAGATCCTGTGGGGGATAGTGGGCTCACATACCAGCTGATTTGCTGGAGAACTGGGGTGTGTGGAGCTGAGCTAGGAATGAGCATGGAACTCAACAACACAAATGGGTATTAGGGGTTAGGAACAGACAAGGCCGGTTCAGGCTGTAGCACCCATAGATGCACCCAAGAGTTGGGTATGGGGCGAGCCAAGTCACAATGTCCACCAATATACACAAAGGCCAAGACTGGGGCGCAGACTGCCAGTAAGAGCCTACCACCCACTGGCATGCATGAGATCTGGATTTGGGAGTGGGTGGAGGAACCTGGGGAACTCCCCTGGTGGGCCATTGCGTCAACTGGTGAGAATATGAGTCAGGGTTGGATGTTGGTCAGGCCAGGCAGACCTGCTTCACTTGGTGAGTGTGAGTTGGCTCTATCGGGGGCAGACCGGGCAGAGCCAGGCCAAACCATAGCATGCACAGGAGCCAGCATGGGAAACGGGCCATGCTGGGCTGGGCTAGGTTATCATACCTACTGGTTTGCATGAAAGCCAGGGATGGGGGAAGACTGGACAAGCCTAGACTGCAGCACCCACCAGAGAGAGTTGGGACTGAAGTCTGGCTGGTCCAGGACAGGCTGCAGCATGATGGCAAAGGCTAAGCTAGGTGATGCGTTATGCTGGGCTAGGTTGAAGCAACCACTGGCATGGGCAGGATCAATGGTTGAAAGCAAGCTTGGTTGGGAAGTTAAGGAGACACCCCAAGATGAGACTCCCCACACCCACAAATGGAGATGAGGGAGGAGTCTAGCACAAGGAGCCCCACAGAGCAGTCAGACACATTTCTCTTTTATAAAATTGCAAAATTTTTATTTTTTATAATTTTTACATATCTGATTAGGATGTGAAGGGTCAAGGGCTAGAGAAAAGTGGGTGAGACCATTGTTCTCACATTCTCTTCTTTCTTTCCTGTATCTAGGGAAAGGGGAAATAAGGGGAGAAGCCACACCCAGCTTCCCAACCATCCCAGGGTCTCTGACGTGGGGCATGCTCCATGGGTCCTGCTCAAATGGTTTTGATAGTTCAACAGTAATCTTTTGCAGCCAATCTTTCCACTCCAGTCACGATAAAATCTCTCCAGACTCCACTGACTGACACAGTCTACCTTAAAGACTGTTAGGCAGACACATTTCTACAAATACTTTATTGGGTAGCACGTGACTTGGGGAATTCACTGGCCATGGGGACAATGTCTCTACCCACCACAGGGAGAGCTCCAGGCAGGATGTGGATGGACATGGCCGGGCTACACAGCAGGGGGCCAGGCAGGTGGTCAATTCTCTATGGGCACATGGTTGAACAGTTTCTTGATTAGGTCCACATAGTACAACAGCATGCGGCAGCAGTAGCGCTTCAGGCCCAGGGCATCCAGGGCGTCCCTGCGGCAGGCAGCACCCACATGAGGTAGCAGGCTCTGCCATCCCTCCCTCTCTCCACCTGGGCCATCTGCCTCAGCACCCCTCCTGCACCTGTTCGCCCTTGGGCAGCAGCTCCCACCTGTCAGATGCCCCCAAACCAAAATGGTCGGGCACAAGTCATAGGGCCAGGGAGCAGACGGGGAAAGGTCCTGCCCCAAAGGGGAAAGGGGGCAGTGCCAAATTAGGGCTCCCCACTAATGGGCCTGATGATCTTGACGCCGAAGTTGTTTACCCAGTCCTGCAGGGAGAGGGTGCGGCGCCCAGGTCGGGATGGACACCCAGGGTCTCAGCCACCCCACATTGCCTGAGGCTGCAGCATGGAGAAGGCCCAGGTCTTGGGGTTGCCCATCCCAGGCAGGGACACCACACCACCCCCCGGTCCGCCAGCCCACCAGCTGTGCAGCTCACCCCTCGGTGTACTCAGCCTTCAGCAGTTCCAGGTGGGGTATCCACTTGTTACCCATGACCTTGCAGCAGATGTAGCAGCACACAGGGAAGATTATGGTGATGGCTCTCTGGCTCTCTGGCTCTGGGCTCTGGGTTCTGAAGTCTAAGTTCTGCTGAATCTTGACTCAACATGTGGACTACCAACTTACACCTACAGTAGCATGATTAGCTTTTATAGTCTGAGAGTCACATAAGATTAGGATGAGGGCCTGGCACGATGGCGCAAGTGGTTAAGGTCCTCGCCTTGCACGCCTGGGATCCCATATGGGCGCCGGTTCTATCCCGGCAGCCCCGCTTCCCATCCAGCTCCCTGCCTGTGGTTTAGGAAAGCAGTTGAGGATGGTCCAAGGCATTGGGACCCTGCACCCGCGTGGGAGACCCGGAAGAGGCTCCTGGCTTTGGATCGGCATAGCATCGGCCATTGCGCTCACTTGGGGAGTGAATCATCGGATGGAAGATCTTCCTCTCTGTCTCTCCTCTCTGTGTATCTACCTTTCCAATAAAAATTTTAAAAAATAAATCTTAAAAAGATTAGGATGAAGAATTTGAGGAATTTATGTATCAACAAGAGGAAGTTGACTTGAGCTTATAGGAGTTTCCATCAGGCTGCCTATAGCTCCCATCAGTCATTGCCTGGAAGTACCTCTTTGTTTTGTGCTACAGATCCAACCAATCATCTTTTTACAGATATCCAATCAATTGTCCTGTTACACTACTTGGTATGTGTTTCGGCTCCACCTGGCCCTCAGGTTACCACCAGCCTATACATACACAGCCTCCTCCCAGCTTGTAGCCCAGCTACCTCCTATGTATGGGATCAGGAGGGCGAATCCAGGCTTGGCTGTTCTGGAGTCACCTGGGGGTGCAGGGAAGGGAAGAACCAGGAGTCTACAACAACATAGCCATGATCTGCTTAGTTGCCTGCCTGTGGTATCCACACATCTGTGCTTCCCTTCTGGGTTGGGATACAGACAGGAATCCCCCCAGGAGAGGGATGTCCTATTTGGTGCCCTTTCTGGAGGCTACAGCCACCATCACCAGCTCCCTCTGCCAATGGCTGGCTGCACCCCTAAATTTGTCTTTGGGGTCTCATAAGCCCCGTCCCAACCTCACAGGTGGGGGAGCTTTGGTCCTTTACGGGTTGGGGAATAGACCAGGGCCAGAATGCGCCCTCCCCTCACCCAGAACTGGCCTGTTATCAGGGCAACACCTAGGGTGGGTGCGGCTTGACAGCCCTACACCAGTCAGGAGTCTCGATGGCCCCTGCCCTGGCATGACCTCTTCTTCTGGCCTGGGACTTGGGGAACACTTGCCTCACCAACCCTGGGCCCCTCCCCAGAGGCTGGGCCACTGCCAGCAGGCATAGAACCGATGCCATAGCGCTCCCAAGGCCAGAGAAGCCAGCAGGGCAGGCATATTAGGGGCTCTGGTGGCTGGGGACCTGAGGCCTGTCAAGGGACAGAGGGAGCCTGGGTGCACGAGCCTGCCCCCACCTGTGAGGAGTCAGAGGGGATAGAAGGCAGTTAGGATCTTGGGTCCCTGGTGAAGTTACCTTTTAAAATATAAAACTGGGGCCCAATACGGTAGCCTAGTCAAGTCCTTGCTTTGCACAATCCCATATTGCACCGGTTTATGTCCCAGCTTCTCCAATTCCCATCCAGATCCCTGTTTGTGGCCTGGAAAAGCAGTTGGTGATGACCCAAAGCCTTGGGACCCTGCATCCACATGGGAAACCCGGAGGAAGCTCCAGGCTCCTGACTTCAGATTGACTCAGCTCTGTCTGTTGCTACCACTTGGGAAATTAACAGGAAGATGGAAGATCTATCTCTCTGTCTCCCATTCTCTCTACAAATCTGCCTTTCCAAATAAAATAAAATAAAATAAAATAAAATAAATTTTTTTAAAAAGAAGAAATACATTCAAGATCTTAATTCACAAACTACCCTTGACATTGACAACATACAATTCTATCACAAAACATCGCTGAACAAAATCATTTGGGCTTAGCACTGAACTTTTCACCCCCTCCCTGAGATGGTGCATAAAAGACATCATTCTCACTGGTGTGGAGACCTGCCGCCATTCCCACGTGGATGAGCCGCTAGACAGGGGGCATCAGGGAGCCCAGGGGAGCCTGTGGATGTGGGGAGGGAGGAGAGCTAGGGGCATGGCACCAGTGGGCATGTGGTGACCTGGAAGTTCACCTCTAGACAGGTGGAGCGAACCTGGGGATTTCTCCATGTCCTTGGTCCTGGGCCAGGAGAGGAGGGGAAGAGCACTTGGTCAGCATGCTGCCCTGGTGTGCTGGTGGACCTGGTGTGCTAAACTAGATATGACCTAATTCATGGAACCTGCTGACACTCACAGGGACTGGGTGGGGCTAGAAACTGGCTGGGCGTGTCCAGACCACAGTACCCACATGTGCACCCTCAAACACGGTGTGGGGTAGCCTGGGCTGCAGCACCCACCAGCTCATACAAAGGTCGGGATGGAGGGGACATGCATGAGACCTGGGTTGGGAGTGGACTGAGTGGGGAAACTTGGAAAACTCCCCTGGTGTGCCATAGCTTCTGCTGGTGAGCACGTGGTCCAGGCTTGGGTGTTGGGCAGGCTGAGTAGGGTAGCTTCATCTACTGGCAAGTGTGTGGGTTGGTTTTGGAAGGGAGCAGACTGTGCAGGGCAGAGCAAACCATAGCCTACTGGCAAGGGTAGATACCAGGGTGGAGTGCAGGTCATGCCAGGCTAAGCTGTCATACCTACTGGTTTGCATGAGCCAGGGATGGGAACAGACTGAGCCTACATGTTGGCCTGCATGTGAGCTGGATGGGGAAAAGCCAGGCTGGGCTGACTGTACCTACTGGTGCAAGCATAAGCCAGAGTGTGTGTGCATGAGTTGGGTTTTACTGCAGTATCATTTGGCAGATGCTGGCACGGGGGGCTAATTCTGCCAAGTTAAACTCAAGAACCACCTGGAAAGTGCAAGATCCAGAAGTGGGAATGAGTCCATTAGGGGAACAGTGGGCACCTCCCTCTTGGGTTGCCACTCTCACTGGAGAGCATGAGAACCAGGACTGAGACAGGCATGGCTAGACGGAGAGTGGCACCCAGCACATGAGAGGGCTGGATAGTGGGGCTGGTTGGGTAGAACTAGGCTTCAATGTCCATTGACATCTATAAGAGCTAAATAGGTTGTAGGACAGGCTGGACTAGTCTGCTGTACATATTGACAAGCACAGGAACCAGGCCAGGGGGCTGCTCTAGTGGGGGTTATTTGGGTTTGCTTCCAACTAGGCTGCAGCTCCCACTGGTTTATGTGAGGGCAGAGTGTGTGGTGGGCAGGATTGGGCTGGGCTGCAACACCCATTGGTTTGAGTAGGAGGCGGAGCTGAAGACAGAACTGACCCAGCAAATGCAGCTACCAGTGTGTGCATAGGTTGATTTGGGCGATGGACTGTGCTGGACCTTGTATTGGTAAACACTCACAAGAATCAGGTCTGGGACCAGCTCAGACAAAGTTTGTTGGGGTTCCCCCCAACTGGACTGTTGGACTCAGAACTCAACCATGGAGTCAATCCCAGTTTCCATGGTCTGCCGTGGAGTACATGTGTTAGAGCTGGCCTCTTCAGTGGCTTAGACCGAGCAGTGGACAGCATATCCATATGCACATGGAGGATATGACAATATATTGGAGTCTCATCCATCCAGGTCTGCCTGAAAACCCTGCTGGTCTGAGGGCCTGGGTAAGAGCAGGGACACCACCACCAAGTGCGTCAAGGACTCCAGTTCCAGATGAGTGCTTCAAAGAGTGGGAGCTCCCCCTCCACGGAGACCCTACTGGAGGCCCCTCGCCAGGGCCCACTTGTTGTGGCCTCCGCCCGGGGATGCTCTGTACCCGAGGCTGGGCTGGCGGGCCGGCCGCTCCCTCCCTGTTAGTTACATCAGCCGGAAAAACGCAAGCCGCCGGGACTGCTTGTTTTTGGCCCAGTTCTGCCGCCGTAGTGCGAAATAGCCCACTGGGCGGGCGCGGGGGGGGGGCGCCTTCTTGTTGGGTCGCGGGCACGTGAGCAAGACTGTCCAATCGGCGCCCTGCACGCCCCCTCCAGCCTACGCGCTCCAGGAGGTGAAGCGGAGAGTCGGCGTCCGGTGGAGCTCAGAGTCTGGCGCGCCGCCATGATCATCCCCGTGCGCTGCTTCACGTGCGGCAAGATCGTGGGCAACAAGTGGGAGGCCTACCTGGGGCTGTTGCAGGCCGAGTACACCGAGGGGTGAGTCGTGCGGCCGGGGGCGTGGGCGGCGCCCCTGCCTGGGACGGGCACCCCCAGGCCCTGGGTCTCCTCCGTGCCGCAGCCCCGGGCTGTGTGGGGCGACTGAGTCCCCGGGTGTCCGCCCCGATCAGGGCCCCTGCGGGAGCCGGTAAACGACCTCGGCACCGCCCCTACCAAGACCGGCAGGCCCGTTAGTGGGGAGCCCCGATTCGGCACCGACACCTCCATCCCCGTCGGGACAGGCCCCTTCCCCGTCTGCCCCCTGGTCCTGCTGCCGGCCACGGCACCCTCCCCTCCCATAGGGCAGACTCTGGGCTCGCGTGCACGTGGATGTCCGGGGTTACTGGGTGCCTGATGGGCAGCGTGTGGGGGAGTTTGTGACTGGCTGCTTTAGGCGGGGGGCATCTGATGGACAGGAGCCACCGGGTGGGGGCTGCTGCCCTGGGCGAGCAAGTGCAGGAGGGGTACTGGAGCATGGGGCAGGTGACCCGGTGGAGGGAGGGATGGCAGTGCCTGCTGCCTCACGTGGGTGCTACCTGCCGCAGGGACGCCCTGGATGCCCTGGGCCTGAAGCGCTACTGCTGCCGCCGCATGCTGCTGTCCCATGTGGATCTGATTGAGAAACTGCTCAACTATGCGCCCTTGGAGAAGTGACCACCTGCCTGGCCCCCTGCTGTGCAGCTCGGCCATGTCCATTCACGTCCTGCCTGGAGCTCTCCCCGTGGGAGGGTGGAGGGACACTGGTCCCCATAGCCAGTGAGTTCCCCGAGTCATATGCTACCCAATAAAGTATTTGTAGAAATGTGTCTGCCTGCTCTATGGGGCTCCCTGCGCCGGACCCTTCTCTCCTCTTCGTTTACCAGGGGTGGGGGGGATGGAGGGTGCTCATCTCAGGTTCCCTGGTGCCAGTGGTCACTGAACCTGTGTTAGTAAGCAGTAGCCTGGCAGGCTGGCCTGCTCAGCTGTGTGGGCGGGCCCTGAAGCTGGGGCAGAGGTGGAAGCACCCCGGGTTGCTGCTCCCCTCAATTCAAAGAACCAGGTAGCTGTGTGATCACAGCTGTCCTGGGCAGTTGGGGGAGGAGGATGAGTAGATGTGTGTTGGGGTCATGTCCACCCCAAGAACCCAGTAGGCTGAGGAGTAGGAGCTCTGGCTGCAGCAGGGGCGTTATAACCTGACATAAACTTCTTTTTATTATTATCATTTTATGATACAGTTCCATGGGCCCCGGGATTTCCCTTTTCCCCTCCCCCTGTCACTGAGTTCCCCTATATGATTACTATAATAAATTTCTTCATACACAGTGGCACATCCATCATTGTGGGCATGGACAATGGCAGAGAGTCCAGCATCCTACTGTCAAGATATAGTTAATATTTTCTTTGGGAGCCCATCTTTATCTGGAAGTAGAGATCCACACTGCATTGTATCCTCACATTTAGATATGATAGTCTCCATTACACAGTTATTATATATCCCCTTAAATGAAAAGCCACAAAACAAAATCAGCAACAGGAAGGGAAAAAGTTAATTAATAACACCAGAAAGTTAACTAACATGCTACTAAATGACTAATGTGTTGCTGAAGTAGTAAAAAAGAATTTCAAGAACCTTCTTGAGGAAAATTATGCTAATATATAACCTATGAATCACTGAAGAAGAAAGTGTTTTGAAGAGGTGAAACTAACAAAAAAAATCAAAATCCATGAAATATAGTTTCCACTGATCTTTGTTGGTGAAATGTGTCTCCTGTAAGCAATAAATGGATGGGTTTTATTTTTTTAACGCAGCCTGTTAATCTATGTTTTATTAATGAGCTTAAGCCATTTACATTCAGGGTTAATATGATTGGGTGGTAATTTGGTCCTGTCATTTTAGCAATGGGATGCTCGTTGATTTAATCTTGTGTTATTATTTTACTGGAATGTTCTTCGCATTTGCCTTTGGTTTTGATGGGTGCTATCCCTCTTTGTCAAGAGAACATCTTTATCATTTGTAGGGCAGGTTTGAAAGAGGCATATTCTTTTAACTCTTCTTGACTGTGGGAGAATTTTATTTCATTTTTAGAATCTGGAATATGTAGCTCCATTCTCTTCTTGCCTGTAGAGTTTCCTGTGGGAAATCTGTGAATTTAATTGGTATTCCTTTATATGTCAGTTGATTTTTTTTTCACATGCACATTTAAAGATCTTTTCCTAATGTTCCACTAAAGAGAGCTTGATGATCATGTGTTGTGGTGAAGATCGCTTTTGGTCAACCAAGTTGGGAGTTCTGTGCCCCTCCTGGATGTTGTTTCCCAATTCTTTCTCTAGATGAGGGATATTTCCCCTTATTTCATTGAATACATCTTGAATCCCAGCTTCTCTTTCTGCTCCTTCTGGGACTCCCATAAGTCTTTTTTTTTTTTTTTCCTTTTTTTTATTATATTTCTGACAATCTTTACATAGTTAATTAGGGCACAAGGGCCAAGGGCTACAGGAAAGTGGGTAAGACTATTATTTCCACATTGTTTCCTGCATCTATCTGAGGTAAAGGGGGATTTTAAGAGAGAAGCTTCGCCCAGTCCCCACCCACCCCAGTTCTTTGAAGTGGGGCATATTCCGAGGGTTTTGCTCAAGTGGTTTTAATAGTTCGACAGTTATGAATTGCTGCCACTCTCACCATTCTAAGCACAATGAGGTCGTTGAAGAATCCACTGATTGACATAGTCCATCTTGAAGTCTCCGTTTGCCCAGTTTTTCACAGCCAACATAGCTGAGGTGGTTGATTGACTTATTCTGTCCTCTGTCTTCATGGTTAGAATTTTCAGTACGGCAGTTCGATTGGGGAGATCCCCAAAGAGATTTTTAGGTGTTCCCAGACCAGATTCTTCTATGTAGAAAGTACAGGGCCCAGCACAATCCATTGCCCCAATCAGCTGGTGGTTGCAATTGCTGGGTTGGTTCTGTTTCCAGCACTGTCTTCCACTGGAACCAATGGGTATGCAGTCCATCCTGATTCTGCCCACCTCACACTCGGCCCTCACATAAACCAGTAGGAGCTGCAGCCTAGTCTGAGTGGCCCACAATAACCCCCACCAGGCCTGCCCCTTGCCCTGGTTCCTTTGCTTGCCAGTATGTGCAGCAGACTAGTCCAGTCTGTCCCACATCCCATTCAGCTTTCATACATGTCTGGGCATTGAAGCCTAGTTCAACCCAACGAACCCAACTATCCAGCCCACACACATACTGATGGGTGCCACTCTCTGTCTAGTCACCCCAGTCCCTGTCCTGGTTTTCGTGCTCTCCTTGTGGGAGGTAACCCAAGAGGGAAGAGCCCACTATTTCCCTTGTAGGCTTACTCCCATTCCTGGATTATGCACTCTCCAGGTAGTTCTGCAGTTTAACTTGACAGAATTAGCCCCCTGTGCCAGCATCTGCCAGTTGATACTGCGGCTAAGCCAAAACAACCCTCATCCTCTCTGATTTATGCTTGCACCAGTAGGAACAGTCAGCCCAGCCTGGCTTTTCCCTGATCTAGTCCACATGAGGCCCACAGGTGTTGTAGCCCTGCCTAGTCTGGTCTGCCCCCATCCCAGCTCACGCTCTCCAGCGGGAGTAGCCATCCAGCAGTGGAGCACTCCCATATTCCCCCTGCCACGCCACCCCCCTTTCCTGGTTCTCATGTGTGCTGGTTAGGTGCTGCGGTCACATCCGGTACAGGTAACCTCACCTTGGCATTCTGTAATGTGCACTGGTTTTTGTCCTGACCGAACCTGGCTCGACCCACACTCTGTTCTGCTACTCAGATTTGGCAGTGGATGATGTGAACAGATTGACCCTGGTCTGCCCCTGACCCATGCCAAATGTGTGCCAGTGGGAAACTTTCCATGGCCTGTTCTGGGCTATTTCCTATCATGTTTCTTGCATTTACCTGCAGGGTCTGTGTCCTGCAGAGGAGTTGCCCAGGCTCCTCCATTAGAACCTCTCCCAGTGCCAGATTTCACGCATACCAGGGGGTTCATGAGCCAGCCTTACTCAGTTTACCAGTAACAGTGGCCTTTCCTGACTGGCCTTCAGCCCAATCTGGTTCTTCCTGTTGGATGTTTCAACCCAGCCATGGCTCATCAATACCCACATACAGCTCACACATGGCTCAGTAGGGGCTGAGACCTAGCCTAGTCCATCCCACATCTACCGTGGTCCTCCAGGACACCAGATGGTGTTGGAGTCTAGCCCGGCTCGGTGCATCCAGTCCCAGTCCACACTTGTGCTAAGTGAGACTACAACCATATCCTGATCAGATTGCAGCCCCTATTTAGCCCCATGCTCCTTGTTGGGAGCCTCCCAGCTAGGGTGTCTCCTTAGCTCCCCAACCAGGCCTGTATCCAGCCATATATTGTGTGCATGCCAGTGGTTACTCTGACTCAGCTTGGCACAGCTCCTCACCTGTCTTGGCCTTTGCCTTACATGCTGTGGCTTAGCATTCCTGGCTCACGCAGACCAGTAGGTACAAGAGCCTAGCTCGGCATGACCTGTGCTCCCTCCTAGTCCTTAGTTTTGCTTGTGGGCTAAGGTTTGTTCAGTCCTGCCCGGTCCACCCTGTTCCATTACCAGCCCACACATTAGCCAGCTGTTGGAGCTACTTTGCCCAGCTTGTCCAACCCCCAGGTCTGGACCATGTGTTCACCAGTGAGAGCTATGACCCACTAAGGGAGTATCCCAAGTTCCCCACATGACCCACTCACTCCTGGAACCAGTTCTTATACATGCCATTGGGTTTAGGCCAGTGCCCAGCATAGTCTAGCCTTCCATTTGGCCTTGTATGAGCTGGTGAACGTTGCAGCCCAGCCCACCCCCACACCATATTCAGGATGCACATTTGGGTGCTGCTGCCCTGACCAGTCCAGACCATTGTCGGTTCCTTTACCTGTGATTGACGGCAGGCTCCTTGGTCACACCTAGTTTAGTCCATCACCCCTTCAACTCTTGAGCTAACCAGTGGGGCTAGTATTTTCTTGGGGTTTGGCCCACATAACGCCCACAGAATCTACTCCGGATATGGTTCTCTCATGTGCTACCTAATTTCATGGCCCTGCCTAATATGACCCATTTCCTGATCCATCAACATGTCAGGTAATAGGATATGATCCTGCTAGACCAGCCCCAAGCCTCAGCTTTTGCGTGGACTGGTGTTCAGTGATTACAAGTACTACACAGTATTTAATGGAGTTTGGTATATCAGTCTTATCCATAAAGATCATCTGGTCCCTCTCCTGCAACCTACCAAGTCTCATTACCCTTACTAACCTTCAAAGGAAAAGTTACTCTGTCATTGGGATTCTTTAGGATTGATTGACATCCCAGAAGTACAGTGGGCTTGACATGGAGATACCTAAGCAGCAAATCAGAGCCCAAAACCCCAGAGCAGGCCATCAGGTGGACAGCAGGTTGAGCCTGGCTCCCAGGGACAGGTCACCACGTGGATGTGGTGGCTGGAATCCGGGCTCCGAGCATGGTGGCACCCACCAGCAGTGTGCCGGATTTTGAAATCCCCAGATAATCAGCCCAGCATGGCTGGGCGGGGGAGGGGCAATTGCAGCGAGGCTGCTGCAGGATGAGCAGGGAGGGCAAACAGAAGCCCGAGCCAGAGAGCACAAGAGCCCAAGCCTCCCCCTCCCCCCCCAGTTCTTAAACATTTCAGGCTATTAATTATACAGTCATGATTTAACATGCTTCTATTGGTGGGTTTGAAACAAGCAACTTTCAAAAAGTACAAACTGATGAGCTATAGGGCGGTGGATCTTATCAAACGCCAGGTACCTC